GCAATCAATCGTACAGAAACATTTAATCTCATTCTAAAAAATTATACAAAAGTAATAAACATGTTTATTTTGTACACTTATACACACAAAACGAATTGTTACATGTATCTTAAAAAATGAAGAATGTAATGAAAAATCTTTCCACATAAATTAAAAATGCTACCAAACTTTCGTTCGCGAAACGTCTAACCTTTTATTGCCAATTTTGAAAGACATAAATGATTTTCTGTTGTTAAGAAATGTATAATTTTTTTATTCATTTTCAAAAGGGTTGTAAGTTATCTCTAGACATAAATTAACCGAAGTCGGTGTCATGAAATAGACGTTAAAAAAATATATTTGGTTGTGAAAAAACACAATTAATACACATCAGAATGTCAAGACGTATATTGATAAACATCACTCTGACGATGAATAGTAATGAGCAGAGGGATTGAAACTACTTATCTCGAATATCAGATAAGCCAGACAAAGCATATGATCAGGGTTCGAAAAAGGCATAATTGATTTATTATTCTGACACGATTGAATTTACTTAAAATTTCTTGATTACTATTCATCGATTTCTTAAATACATCGATAGAACGAACTTCACCCCTGCCAAGTGAGAGCTTCTCTCTTTCTTGTTGGAAATACCGCTCAGGCACTGAATCTGTCCGTCGCTCTGAAACGCAGTGCTGTCGCATCGTTTAGCTCGCAGGATGCCTTCGCAAAGTCAGAGTCAGAATAGATAACTCTTGGAGACTAGATGCGTCAGCTAACATTCCAGACAAGTTTCGCTTTTAAAAGGGCGAATCCAGCCTTCTAGGCAAAATGTGATTACGTCCCTGAAGCATCATTTTCTGTAATTTCAACTACTATCTTATTTATACGCATGAGCATCTGGGGTGGGGGATTGTAGGTTAGCTCCCCACCCCCAACAATATGTTCACGTCCATGCAGTAAGTTTACGGTTCAAAGGTTATTTTAAAAAATAATTTTCTCAAAAATGGCATCAAATGTTGTTTTTCTTGAATAGAGCAAAGTTTGCTAATAAAATTGGCCCGTTTTCGTTGCACACTGAATTTTTGTAAAATGCAAAAGTTTACTTTTCTAGAACTTGTTTCTGTGCTGTCTCAGATTTACCAGAAACAGAAGCAAAATTCCACACTAGTGAGATGATACGTTTTTCAAACCTAACACTCAGGTTCCTAATTTCAATTGCTCGCGAACCACAAGTGCAAAAGACAAGAGAGGGAAAAAGTAAAATAATTATTAAATCGATGTTCCTAAGCTCTCACTGAGTGAGAATTACTATAGCTAATTTACTTCAAATTAAGTTGTGTGGTATAAAAAAAGTAATTAGAAGTAATTTGAATCAAGTGGGGAATAAAGCGAAAAAACTTCAATATTATTTAATTTTGAAATAACATGCAGAGGGTTGTTTAACCGAGTTCGCAATAGTTTCAAATATTCCGTGTCGCAATAGTTTCAAATATTCCGTGTCACAAAAAATGCCTAAAAAATTAAATGCGTTTCATTTTATCAAATGCAGTTTTTATCACTTGAAAATATTGGTATTAGTAGGTTTTTCCTTGATATTCCTCTCATGACAGACCCAGTATAGAAACACGCAATGAGAATTCTAAATATCTGACTTTAAGTCTTTTGTTAATTTTAGAAACTTTTCATATTGAACTAAATTAATCACTCCACAACAAATAAACGTAATTTCAATTAATTCAAATCGCAATTCTAATCAGCGCCTTATTGGTATGTTTCTTGCACTTTCACTTTTTCAATTTTTTTTCGTTTAATTCTATGAAGTTATGTTCCTTACTGCCACTTTTAAGAACTGCGCCGTTAGTACAACATACAGTTGAAGTCACGTTAATTTGAGTAATAAAGCTATTATTTAGCGTCAGTTGGTATATTGCAGAAATTGAGGGCAGTATTTCCTCGAAAATGCAATTTTAGTACGCTGTCCAAGTTTGAAATAATTCATCGGGTAGAAAGTTATGATAGTAAAACCGCACATCTTGTGGTTACAAGCTTCGGTACACCGCCGCCTTTCAATAAGAGCAGAAATCCCTTTAATTAAACCGTCGAAATAACCCCGATGTTTCGTACTTGCCATTCGTGCCATCCATGTTATTAGATAATTTACTACATCAATTGTTTTTGTTGCATGAGCTAATCGCTTCGAGTCAATAAAAAGCCGTTCATCTTCTAGCCTGAATGGACAAGCACTGTTACAAGATACTAATTTCGTTTGTGAAGATCAGCTGAGGGCCACATGGCGGTTTGAGTCAACATTTCTCTCCATTCAACACGAACGTCAAGCTGTCAAATCCTGACCTATGAATAACTACCACTTGTGGAATACGCCTCGAGGTAAAGTTTTAAACTTGACACTTGAGAAAGTAAATATTGACTTCGGCGGGCGACGGGCTCTTATAGATGTCACGCCAAAGGCCGTTGTGCCGCAGCTATTCTAACACTGAGACATTTCCGTATTTGTTAAGGAAGCCTTCGTTCAAGCAAGTCGTCTACACAGTATATTATATCTGTGACAATGATGTATTGACTGGAAAAGTGAATAAAAGTCAATTCTTTGTACATTTTCACTACGTTTTTTAAGTTAATATAATATCTGAAAAATATGTTAAACTTATGCGTATTTCACGTCTCAGACCTATTACATGAACAGCTCGCAATTGTAAATATGCACATGAAATATACATGGGTGATATTTGAAATATATCAATACCATTCTTGACTCATTTGACTTTTCTTTGCATTGATATGTAAGCTTGGTAAACATGATTCTGAAAGAAAATTGATTAAATTATTTGAAAGACAAAAATGGTGGTTTATCCAAAACAAAATTCTAAAAAAACTCATCAATGTCTTCTGTATATCCAGAAACCCGCCGATAATTTGATTCATACTGATATCAATGCAAATGGATAACCTAGTCTTTATAAATGACTCCTGAAACTAGCAGAGTTGGATCCAGAAATTATTTCAAAGGGGTGGAGGAATCTATCTTCAGATCCCCAATACATCTTTCTGTAAATCATTTTTTTAACTATTAGCTTGAAATTTAAAAATATGTTCGTATAAATTATTAATGTTTATATTGTCTGGATGTGATAAAATCTTACATCGGAATTATTCTGAATAAATCGGGTATTTTTTTAATATTGGCGTTTTTCGCCGTGCCCGTCCCCCTTGAATCCACCACTGTAAATAAGCTATGCCACGAGCAATTCTTCTGTTTCTGTGGCTATCGTCCGTAACTAGTCGCTGGCCTGAGATATCACCATCTCCTTTCACTCAATATTTCAAGGCGCCAATTTGGCAGCATCGCATATCGCGTGAAACAAATAGCTGGTTTAATGCTACTCAGTGATACACGTAGGATTGCCAAACGCCTTCGAAAGAAAAACCGGACAATTTAATTTTGTAAACGCTCATAAAAATTTCTGAAAATGAAAAAAAATATGTTTACAATCTACTTTTGTACACATATCTCGACGCGACTATATTGTTTCTTCACATTACACGAACAACACAGCATGTAACTAGCGCTAGGCGAACATGTTGTTTGAAAAGTGGCACTAAACACACAAAACTACATTAATTATCTCAAAACGCGTTATACCCAAACATAACCTATAAGGCTATAACTAATTAGCGACTGCCGAGTGCCGACTGTGCCCTGGCTCTCGCGAGACGGTGGCATGTGGGAGCGGGAGTGGCGGCGGCGACTTAGCACGCAATCTACCTCCATTTCTCCTACCTACCCTACGACTACAACTACAATCCACAAACCTACTTGTTGCCTTGTTGGTTGTTGAGTGACGCAAAGTCAGAAATTTTCAATTAATATTTTGTAGCGCCAGCCAGATTTTACACGAAACTTCTTTAAAAACCATCTTTTGTCCGGTTTAAAAAGATTCTCTGGACTGGACAGACGTGAAGAACACCTGACTGTCCGGTCGAAAACCGGACTTCTGGCAACTATAACTACACAGCGGCGAAGTAGAGCTATGCTTACTCATGCGATTAAGCTCCAAAAAAATTTGCAGCCAACAATCTTTGAATCAAAGGTGGCATTACAGCGCTTCTAAATAAGCTGTAAGGGAACTATATGACGCTCTACTTCTCCTACGATGGAAGGCATTCTGGAGATTTTTGATCCCGCCATTGATTTCCAACCCACCACCTTGCGTTGCGTATGCGCCAGAGAGAGACCACGTTGGAGGCGGGCCGCACGCATCGCGCTAGATGCGAATTGGTAAATGAAATGCCGAACATCATGCGTCGCCCCGAGCCTCGCCACCTCGCTTACGGTTTCGTGGAAGAATTAGGTTTACCGCATAGAAATCGCCTTGGGGGGGGGGGGCGCTTGTTTCTCGCTGAGCAAGAGAGCCTCCCCAAGACTTCTCCTTAGGTGCACTCTGGGCACAAGGAACCTCTCCGGGAGTCGCTTCTCGTGGTCACATGTGCTGCCACACGATTGGGGTCTTCTTGGTGTTTTATCCCGGGAGGTGACGGTGTGTCCTTTCCCTCCGGAACGTGATAACCCACGCAGACCTGCACGTCAACTATCAAAGTTTCCTCCTCCAGGTATCTCCCCCGACAGCATCCCTGCCGGGACAAGCTCAAAGCTTCCGACTGGTCTCCCTCCTACATTACATATGAGGTTGTGTAGTGCACGCAAGTGCAAGTGTACTTGTCAGGAGAGAGGAGGGACAAGAATGAGGCAGGAATGAAGATCGCGTGAGGACCGAGCCCCTTTTTTAGGGTACTTTTCCGTCATTTGCCTGACAGTGCTCAGCCGACCCAGCCGGTACCGCAAACGAATATGTGGCGTCTTCACGGAAGGGAAGTTGCGTCACCCCAATTTTAACACCTACGTAGTGTTTTTCCTTGCGGATCGCCTGTAGGGCTGTCAGACACCTCACCACCTGAGACCAGCAAAATACGAACGCGGCGACCACTGTTGTACTCACCCAGATAGCTGTATTTGTCCACGGGCGACACGTCCTGCGCGTACTTCTTCACCGGGTCCAGCACGGGGCCGTAGTAGACGGTCTTGTCGCGCGTGAGGAAGTCCGCGGTGGAGATGTTCTGCAGGAACATGGTGCCCCGCCACGTGTGCGGGCCCGGCGACCCCACCACGGCCTCGTCGTCGGCCAGCAGCGCGCCGCTCGTGCCCGCCTGGCAGAAGCCGAACTGCTCGTGCGCCCTGGCAATGCAAGCAGTTCAAACGCGACCGTCATTTGCTGCTGTATCTGTTTTCGTCATACGGTACGCACTATTATATGGGCGACTGAACGCCACGCAGAAGTACGTTTACAGGTTTAACGATCGGCCAACATGAGAAACAATCGAAACAAGGTGAGTTGTGATTAAAGATGAGTACACTTTTCCAAGAAATTGTATTTGTTGTTTATATTTGTTTTTTATATAAAAATACGGTATTACAATTATTTAACAACACATGGCCGATATCACAAACAACAGACTTGGTTGGTATTTGCTCTTTATCGGTTTTAATGGCGTTAATAACTATAACGAACGTAATATATTCAAAGATTATTATTTGTTCGTTAATCGGATTTTATGCGCTCCAAGACAGTTGAAAATTGTTCATTAAAAGGTTACCAACGAACGTAATTGACTATTTTTATTTCTGCGTTCATCGACTGTTTCACCGCGTTCAAAAACATTCGTGACTTATTCGAGAATATTTTGTTTGTTCATCTTTTAACGAATATAATCCGTTCACAGAATTATTTTTTTTGTTAATCGGTTAACGAACATCATCAGTTCAATTTGTTCGTTAATTGCTGTGCGACCACGCGAAGTTTCTGCGAGGACGCTGGTACACTAATGGCATCTTGTACGTAATAATACAGAAATACTAGAGACCAGGCGTGATACCAAACTAGCCCACATTTTACTCGCACAGTTGGTATGAATGGCAATGTATAAGGATACTTACAACTGGATGGGACGTCCTCGACAGGGCTCCCATGCTTGGCCAAATTCAAAATCCTGCTTCAGGAGGTAGCAGAGACCGAAGCCCCACATGGCCTGTCGATCTCTCCCTTTGTAGATGTATCGATGCGCGCATACCTAACACAGAAAATAACGTTACCACAAGAGTACAAAGTTTCAGCATTTGCTTTGCATGAACGTGGGATGCACAAGGCTCTAAACAATGATTAGAAAGCCATTAGAAGGCTTCTCAAATCTGAACTTGAAGGAATTTCAATAGAAAACTTTATTAAGTAATATTTTACTAGCAGACGAATATCGAATTTGTAGAATTTTGTAAACGCTAATAATAAAGCTACCAATCTTTATTTTAAATATTCTAGATTTTTAACTATTCTAAAAAATTGCAAAGAATTTCTTAATTTTGCTCTTTGAGATGAAATAAGTATATTACAGGATGAAAGATACATAAGATATAAGAGAGCAATTCACACAATATTCTTTACGAATGTCAGCGAAAAACGATAATTATTTTATTGGTTACGATTAGACAATATCATTTCGCATTCAAACCTATTCAATTTCTGATGAAAAGTTTACTCTTTTTAAGACACTGACGCATACAGTAATCTCGGAGACAAAAATACTTTGTACAGCATATTCAATAGCAATTCCAACATTTTTGAAATGTAATATTACACCGGGACCGAATCATTACAAATAAGTTTATAACTATTTACAGCGGCAGAAAAAGAAAAAATCAGAATGAAAGGAAAGGGGAAAAACAATAATACAAAACTGGCAACAAAAATATTCATTAACACCACTGATACAAAAAGATCACAGTTGTGAAGAGAATGAAAAACAATATTATCAAAATAACCTGAATCTAAATGATCATACACACGTTGTTTACTGAATGAGACAATTTTAAGTTTATCTTTCGAAAATATGACTCACTTATGACTCACTTTAATACACATGAAACTGTTTTTGAAGTCTCTACCCAACGAAGTGAAGTTTTCTAAGAATGAATACACTGTTATATGTTATATTAAATGCTAATAACTACTATATTAATAGACAGTGTGCATTGGATAATGTGAAACGACAATTATTCAAGCAAGTACATGATTTGCGCAGCGAACGATGAAAGCATTATGTTTCCTTCGTTTCATCTCATAAACAATGTTAAAAAAAGAGGGGGCGGTAAAATATCGTTACCTCATTATTCCAATGCCCATTCGCATAATTTAAAAATATTTTATGTAGGTATGAATCTGTCTTCAATTCTCGTATCATTTATACTATGTTGAGTTCAATAATTTTATTTATTCATGCCTATTTTTTTCTTTTGTCGCCCCTATATCCCAAAGCACATACTGATAATCCGTGCAGCTGCACCAGCTCAGCATCTTAATAAGAGCTCCCCATTAAATCCATTTCAGTTGCGGGCCCGCCTGCAGAGGAAGCAATGTTCCATCTGCTTCCCTTTAAAAGCGATTAACGCGTTTCTCACAGCGGAATGCCGCACCTGCATCAACAATCGTAAAAAACGCTTTATTGCTCATTGTCCGCGTTACGGCGAGGCCCGGCGCGCTCGCTCCGCCAAAGGAAATGAAAGCGTAACGCTAAACGGTAACGCAAACAAGAAGCGGCGATTACGTTACAGGGAGCGCCGCGACGGCACTGGTCGCCGTGTCGTTGTGTTGGGTCGTTTTACGAGTGATGTTTAGGCGGCACAAAAAACGGATTCAAATTTCATTTACAAACGGCGCGAGTGAGGCTCTGTAATTTCCACACACAAACAACGGACGTAACGGACATGATAGGAAGCATTGGTCTGGTTTCGGGAAAGAACATGTTGCCGCTTTAGCAGACAGCTGAGAAAGGATATAACAAAGCTGTTATGTAATGATTCATTGATTTTAATTACTAGAGAGGGTTTATTAATGAAATGATTACCTTTTTGTTGAAATTTGGTGATTAATGAATTACAAAATTTGGACACGTTTCGCACAAAATATATTGCATATTTTAATTATAATCTTTATGTTTATAAAACGTTTTTATTACATTCTATTTTTATACATTTCATTCGTAAATGCGAATAAGGACAGTGTCTCAAAAAATGTTACAAAGTTTTAGGGCATGAAGAGGGGTCGAAAATGATCAAAAGAATGGGAAATTTTATAAAACGAAATTAAATATGTGACATGCCGACCTGGGTGGCCGAGGTGGCTAAGAGCGTTTTCAGACTCAAGCTTCGGTCCGAAGGATTGGAGTCCCGCCTTGGGCATAGCTTTTGTCTCCTGTCTCTCATGTATTCTGGCGGAGGGACTAGCGTTCTGCTGACCCCAGGATCAGAGGAGTCCACAAGTGTGTTGGTATCTAGTGTACGGTCAAATATGCGACCCATCGAGACGTAAAGCGTAACCGGCTGTAAGCTGGATGACACCCCCTCAAAAATACATCTGCTCCTAAGCAGATAGGCAACTCCTCAGGCATAAATGTTTGAAATGTCACATTCTGTCTCAGGGGATTTCGAGTAACAGACGAAGAGTAGTTCATGAGAAGATGCCTTACGATCAGGGGCAAATGTTCGACGTGGAACTTCGATAAATGAAATTGCCCACATCATATTCATTGGCCAAAAGTGATCATTGAAGCAGAAAAGCAAAGGAAGAAACTCACGCGCTTCATGCATCGAATAACTTTCCATTTGAAAATATCACAGTACTACAATTTAATAGTGTGCAGGGAATAACTTAGAAAGACAAACGTTTTAGAATAGTTGCTTGATTACTAGTGTTTCCAGGAGCGACAATTTCTGAGGCCATTAGTCCCGTAAGTGTAGTGCATATTTTATCACGTGCGGTAGCCGTGATCTTACACCTCTGGTTGGCGAAATGCGGCGTAGACCTATCGTCGGCTAGCGGGATTTCCATCAACCAGATATCTCCAACCAGCGGGGCACCGCTTCAGCCGGGACAAGCTCTGAGCTCCCGACCGGTCTCCCGGCATGTGCGGTAATGTAGCGCATGTTAGTTTAAATGTGTGTAAGGGGTTGGATAGTAAGGGAGAGGAAGGAAAGATCGCGCGCGGTCTGTGGCCCGTTCGGTAGGGTCCTGCTCCAGCATTCGCCCCGTGTTGATCGCAGAAACCAAGGAGAACTACCGACCAGCAGCCGTATTATCCCCCACTCAGCGACAGAACTTGACCTAGCTATTGCGAAAATCCCGCCATCGTCGGGACTCGAACCCCAGAAACTACCGGTCAGAGGCACTTCAGTGACTTCAGTTGATGCCCTTAGCCACCTCTCCCGGCTTTCTCTTCAGAAAACCTTCATTGGAGACGTTTCCATTACTTAAGAATTGAGGGCAAAGAAGATGGGACGTGGAACAAAAAGCAGAGGATGCAACTCACGAGCACATTTCCTCCGCGGCCCTGGCTGCGCACGGTCACGCCCATCCACTGGTCCTCCTTGTGCTCGTCCGGCAGCGGCGGCTGCAGGTTCTTGGAGGCTGCAACGCAGGGCGGGGCCAGTCAGCGGGCGCCCCGTCGCCCACTCACCCTCACGCCCACGCCCGCGGGCCGGCGGGGCGGGGCGGGGCGAGCGGCGGGGAGCGGCGGCGGCGGCGGCGCGGCCGGGGGCAGCGCACGCCGCCCCGCGACCGCAGTCGCCGCCGCCATCGCCGGCATAGGGCAGCCACACGCGCGGTCGCGTCACACACGAGGCGGCCCCGCCGCAGTCCGCGACCGGCGCGCGCCCCGCGGCGCGGCGTGGAGCTGCTGGCGCGGAGCAGTGAGAGCGCCCGCGCAACAGGTGGCGGAAGTGGAAGCGTTGCCGAGGGGAACGAACGCACGATCGATTGTCCAATTTCATGAATGGATTCATTAGCTGGGGTAAATGGATTCATTATCCAGAATGCGAATGATTTTAGCTCGTTGAAATCGAGAACTGTCAAAAAAACAAAAAAGCTTTCTGCTCGGAGTTTGTACCGAGTACGTTATCAAGCATGGGTCTACTATCTTTTTGGATTATCATAGATTCACCTCAGAAACTTCAAAACAGCTCGTTTTTGTTACGGGTGGATTATGAATTTCTAACTTTTCGAAGTTTACATAGACGCGCACACAGAAGGTGCCAGGGGGAACGAGCCCCCCACCCCCGAAATAACTCGAAAAGGGCCCATTAGCTCTATGTAAACACATTTATTTCCATAAATGTATTCAATTTTTTTCCAACTTTCCAGCAGATAATTTGGCTGTTTGAGACATAGTAATTAAGGAAAAGACCTCCAAACCATCTGGCAACTTGAAAATGGTTCAACATAGAATCAAAATCGATTTTAATAGAGCAAATACTAAATGATATTATTAATGTATTTTATCATTTAAGTTATAATTTCATTCGTCTGTAATATGTTTTACTTTTTTTTTGTAAAATGTGTCAAATGTAAATAAAAAGATTAATGGAAGGAGGGGAATGCTCCCAGAGGGACCCAAATACGTAGATGCCTCCCTATTGCTTTAGGCTGCGCACGCTTATGCATATTCATACTGAATATCTCTGTTAAAATGTGGTCAGAAAGTACGGAAATGTAGTGCTCGATTTGCAAAGCATTCAAAAGTAGACATTTTGAAAAAGAAAGCGTCCAAAACAACACATGAAATTTAAATTATTATTTTTTATCACAATTAAGATACAGCAAACTAAAGATATTATTTCGAAAGGCGGTGTGTGAAAACATTAAGCGTTGCGTTTAATCCTATAATAGAAGAATTTAATTTAGCCTTAATCTACATAAAATAATCCATTTTACTTCTAACAAGTTCCAGTATTGTCAATACCAATGAAGAAATCGTTAAATGTTTACGAAGTTTCCAAGGTAAATCTTCCAATATGGTTCGAATGTCGCATAGGACTGCCATGAATGGTAATATTCTGCAGAGGAAAAGGGTGGGCCCGCTACTCAATAGTGCCAGTGGAAAGTGCAAGAGGGTAAGCACACACATTATACGTGAGTTAAATGATCACACAAGTGCATAATGTGATAGTTTTGAGAAATTTAGGTCCAGAAAACACACACACACATAGAGGTTTGACCTCCCATTGACTGTTCGTACAGGACGATGCTTATTGGTCCAAATTAATGAAGAAAACACTAGATTAAGTTAAATTTTCTTTCCATTAAATAGCAAAGACTTCATTTGTAATTTCGAAATTGTAAATTGTATTTTTCTGGTATTTTGGCGTGAAAATTAAATATAAAGTCACATATACTTCAGATATGAGTGCTTGAACAGTCCCAGGATATCAAACCAAACCTGCACCAGAAACTTCCAGTTCTATGGCATTCTTCATATGAAATTCGACTCATATTGAACGTATGACACTTTAAATATTCTATGGCGCAATATCGTATATAGTCTCGATTTCAACAAGATATTTGAACATGTTATTAAACGTTTGGAATTATTCGTGTTCTATTTCCCTGAATATCCACTTCATTTGATGAAAAAAGTACGAATCTAGAGCGCACCAAGAAATCACGTTTCGCTTGTAAAGTGGTTAAGCAGTGCCTACTCGAAAGCACTCGGATTTCGACAGGGTTTTCCTGGAAGAGATTTTCAGACGACATTATCTCTATGATCGATTACTACTGGTTCCTTCTGACAGAATTTTATCGCTCGTCCTCCTCTCCTTTAAAACCACTTAAAGGAGATATCGTGGACAACAATTAACACAACTAGTGCATTGCAAATAATAATAATAATAATAATAATAATAATAATAATAATAATAATAATAATAATAATAATAAAGTTTTGATTAATTCCCTTGCACTGAAAGTTTGCATTCTATGATTTGCATTGATTAGGCGTGCATAAGTTATATTTTCGAAAAAAAAAGAAACAAAGAAAAAAGAGAAAATGTGTAGTCTCTTCCATCTATTTAACCGTTTTCCGGGAGATTGCCTGCAATTTGTAACGGTCTAATTTGGGAACCTCTAGCAAGGACAGGTAACGAACCACAGATTTAGAACTTGTGACAAAATCCATGTCACATTTTTCACGCATAGCATTCCGTCACTTCAAGTGCGCCCTGCACGTAAATAGCGCGTGCTCCAGCTGGCAGCCTCCACCCAGCCGCGAACGGGGGCGCATGGGAGGGCGGGGCGGCGCGGGGCGCGGCGCGCCGTCCATGCACAAAGGCTGTAGGGTTAGAAAGACAAGACGACACAGGCGCCGTCCAATGCAGCAGGAGGCGGCGCGCGGCAGCGGCGGTGGTGCAGCGACCGGCTGGGGACAGCCGCTGCGCCGATGCGGAGCTGCAGGGGCGGGCGAGGCGCGGCGGCGGCGATGGTAGAGGGGGGGGGGGCAAAGCTCGCAAGAACACTCGGCACACACCACACACCATGCTGAGGAAGAGTGGGGAATCCACACGGAACACGAGTTCCCAACGAGGTGAACACACACTGGGGGGAAGTTGGTACGAGGCGACGATTGGCGACATGAAGATACGCCCGTGAATGCGATCAGTGTTTTTTTCCTCACAACACGACCTTTTCGTTGTTGCTGACGAACTTACTCCGTTGGCCCTTTCACTCTACATTATGCAACTTTACATTCTTGTTTAGAGTTGCAAATTAGAGAAGATACTCGTAACAACGAAGTCTATACGGCAGCAACAACTGACATACAATATTCTTCTTACTCCACAACACTAAAACACTGACCACCTAATCTCCTTCATTACACATTTAAAGACATGGGCAGTCGAGTTAAACCGCATTAATTCGATCGACGGGTAGGACCTACCTTCAAGCTCTGGAGAGACTGATTTTACTACGATATTAAAGTTGAAATAGGAAGCGTAGCATGTGAGGAAGAGAGATTTTTTTTCTATTATAGTGAACTTTCCTTCGTCAAAGTAGAATCGATTGGCACATCCCAAAATGTTTTCTCAAATTCCTTTGACCATGCTAGATCTTCCCCCATTTAGTTTCATGCTTTCCAACCTGACATCTACCACATGCTAAAAATACAAGCTGTTAGAGTGCCGATCAGTAGATGTCAAGTGGGAAAACGTAAGCTGGTATTAAAGCCTCATTATGGTGTGATATCATGTGAGCAACGTAGAATCTGGAGCAATCTGAAAGTCATTAACACTGACAATGAAATAGCATATAGATAGAAGTCTATGGCAAGCATAGCCATTATTATCTCATTTACATATGAAGAGAAGTGTACAAAAGAAAGTGTGCAAAAATCAACAATACTACGATCTACACCTCAAACTTAGGCATTTTTCAAACACTCCAGATTTCTCAACTCAAATGAAATAACACCTAAAAACTCCTTGTTAGCATTAAGTTAGGTACTTTTCTTCCTCCAGAGCTCATTGGGTGGTCCTGTGGGTTGGCGAGAACGTGAATTTAATCAGTTACTGTGTTAGCGTCGCGTTACTTGGTTAGCTCTCCCTTGAGAAGTGTCGACGGCCGACGAACCACACAGAGTTCGGGAGAATGGATGAGTAAGATCTTCCCACAAGTTAGGTATTACTTGACTGAATGTTAGCGTTCGCTTTACAGTTGAGAGCACTCTTTGCACGACCAGCTTTCACAGATCAAGAAGTTACACCCTTTCCCATTACCGATATCATGATTCGTCACAGTTAATAGTATGCGATGAAATCATAAATAAGCTATTCAGAACTGTTACCAACCTTCTGTGTACTACTGTCCAAATTTTGGAAATGTTATGTCTCTAATTGGAATACAAATGGTCATTTACTACATGGTAAGAAAAATAAATAAATTTGTTAATATTATTACATCTATATAAACAAATGCCTCATATTTATTGAAATACAGTTCAAAATGATGTAAGAATGGCCGGAATGTTGTCAGTCTGACAATTAATTATCTAGTTTTTATAAAAATGTCACAATTTGATAATGCATAATGTTTACAAAACGTCCGTCGACATTCTCTTTTTTTTCATAGTTAACGAAAAATTTAAAAAGAATATTGCAGCACTAAAATTTGAAAAGAATGTGCAATTTTTTCATTGCACCCAATTGCTGTGTGTGAAGAAAAAACTTGACGAAAGCAAATTCTCTGGCAATGAATATATTCGTTTCAAATTAACAAAATAAAGGTAACCATTTCTTTCTTTTAAATCGTATAGCTTTATGTAAAGAAAATTACTTACTCCTTTTTCAAATTATAATTTTTCCTTAGTTATTTTCTTGCAGAATTGTACAGACGCGTTGAAAGAAATTTCTTTCATTTGTATTCTGTTTAATCTAATATTTTTCAGTAATCCTTTCCCACGCGAAAATCCTTTAATAGTTTCTTAACTTCAGTTACCCTTTGATCTCTTAGGATGCTTCAATGTCAGAATCTTGTGTACTGTGTTCGCAGATAAAATACATGTGTATCTTTTATCTTTTCCTTCACAATCCCTCTCCACACAGTGCTGTGATACTGGAAAATATTTACTATATTTACAATAT